CGTTTGCTACCTTGACAGTACTATACACGCCGCATAACTCGTCACTTTTTAACGCGGGCCGAGCCTTTGAGTGCAAAAAGTTGTCAAAAAATCACATCTTCGTCGACCAGCCACTCCATCTCACTGGAATAAAAACTGGCAAGAATAAGAAGCATTACAAAGGCAGTTGTAATGTGCAATTGCAGAGCAGGAAATTATCCATCCAACAGTTTAGAACATAATGTGACCGATTTTTGCTTTAGTATGGAAAATTGTGTAAAATGTAACTTCGTTACTTACGTGTCAGCTCAATAAGTGAGTTAACTCCGACCGCATTTTATCATGAGAAAAGGCGTCATCATATCAAAATAGTAGACGCTGCCACCAAGCGGGGCAAACGCAATGAGTGGAGTTAAGAAAGAACTGCGGTGCCTATTCCGCTAAGGTCTCTCACAAAACGGGCCAAAGGCCTTTAGTAAAGGCTCGTAGGGATGCCTTCACACTGGCTGACCGAACTGGCTCAAGGAACACCTGACTACTGCATTCACGGGGTCGACGCCACGCGACTTTTTGGGGTTTTGAATGCACTGTGTTATCCTGCGCTCATGGTTTTGTTCAAAGAAGGCATTGCCGCATGTGGGCACAACACACGAGTTTATGAACCACCGCATGCGCAAAACCCACGTCTTCAAGACGCGAGTCAAACTATTGAGACAATCATGCCATATTGACTGAGAATTCCTCTACGCATACTTGCGCAATTTTGAAGGTATTCAGGAAATATGGTCACAAACGTCGCCTGTGCAGCCTTTGCTTTCCTGGTTGTATTTATTGCTGTCGTCTGTGGAGAGAAGTGGGCATGTTCGCCGTGGGTTTATAACGTCGAAACGAAGAAATGCTATAGGGTAAGATTACAAAGATTGTAAGGTTTTGAATACTGGGAGCTATTTCATGAAATTTTGCGGCTACATGAGTTGCGCATACATGTGCTGAGGAATCCCACAAAATATTGCATGTGTTATACTGGACTAGAGTTGATGAGAAATTCACAGAGATAATGATTTTTCCAGAAATTCTGCAAGTGGTTGAATACATGGGACGCTGAAGCCCACTGCCGAGCCGTAGGGGGTAACCTGGTAACCATCTGCAGCGAAGAGGAAAACATCTTCGTTGGACGTGAGTTTGGACTGTGGACGTCAGTGTTAGACTTCTATAATGCAAGTGGTGGCATTATGCATGGGACGGTGGAATTCGAAGCTTTCTTCTTTTTCAGTGTGGGCTTCACGAAAAATCCCTCTCTATCAAGTTCTATCAGCCCCATCCGTGCTGCGTGCTCCACGAACTTACTGCAGGCCAGCTGTTTGCACCTAACACGGGAACACCAACAGGTCGATTCCGCCATCTGCAGTGACATGCATACCCACGTACACGTCTTGGGAAGGTGATTACAAATCACTTGCCAAAAGTTGAGAAACGCTTTTGTGAGCGGATGTGAGCGGACGAAGGCATTCCCCGTACTTTCCTGTGCACTGGCGCGTGAAAGTGATCTCATGAAAACTGCCAATTGATGCTCACGCAGTAGAGGTAGAGCGCAGCTGTTACTGAGACCGCATTGCAAGCAACTATTTCCGGTAGCAAGTCCTTGACCGACATGCTTTTTATACTCTTTACAAAAGCAGTAGTGTGTCTTCCGACAAAGCCAGTCGACCAGCATTGGCCCGTTCTCCTATAAAAGGAATATGGAGCTTCCTGGCAAGTTTGTTCTCCTATAAAAGGAATATGGAGCTTCCTGGCAAGTTTGTGCGCCCTGTTGTCTACCAGATAGCTTGAACATCTTGCAGTTTGTGCCCACAGCGTGCTCCGTACGCGTTCTGGGGTCAAGTGAGTAAGTTATCCGTGTAAGGAGGGTCAATACCCCTGGAGCCAAAGTTCCATGTAAGAATCTGAAATTCCCCCTGTTTTACAGAAAGTACGTTGTGGGTAAAATGGTGGTGGGTATAATCCCAGTCATAGTTCTGGATGTAAAATGATATCGAAACATAGTCTTGAGACTAAATCGAATCTTTACTTACATTTTTGAAGGGAAGCACAATCCATTTTATGTGTAGGCGTCATCCTTGAAATTTTGTGGCATTGTTCCCCAGAATAAAGTGCCCTCAGCAATCTGTTTTCTATTCTCGTATATTCAGCAACGACTACATTTTTCTTTTGGGAGCTCCGTCTCGCCATTTCGGATCATCTCACTTCTATTCTCACAACAATTCAGCTTTCGCTGTAACAAGAAACGCAAGCCATCTCAAGGCCAGTCAAGATAAGTCCAGGACCATAGTCGCTGCTACACACTTGACTACTGCTCCACTATTTCAGAGTTAGGTCAGAACTTCAGATGTAGATGAAAACTCGTCTTCAGGGCTAATTTGTAGAGTGCGCTGCTGACCTCGACACGCAACGACCATTCTACAGACCACAATCATTCATACTCAAGAGTGATACACCTATAGAGTGTATTATGTATTGTCATGCAGAATGGTTGTGATAATTGTTCTCAGCGTATCAGATAACCCATTATTGTGAGACTTCAGCCGTCTTTGTGGCCTAGTCACCTCCTGCAAAAAGACAGCTGTAGGAGGATAGGAGAGTGAAGTTTTACATAACCCATTCCAGAGAGATGTTCCGCAATTTTGAGGCGCAGGTTATAAATTAGCGTCTAAAGAAGCGCACGCAGCACACACCCCATTGCAGATGGCCTGATCGACCCGTTCAGGCTTCTAGGTTAGCAGTGGGAACGACCCTTAGCCTAGTGCCACCGTTGCTCACACTGGAAATGAATCTCACTTTGTAAGGAAAGTCAAATATTTAGAAGATTTAGAATATTTACGTCTTCTTACTCGTATCACTCGAAAAAGAAAGTCTTGCACATAAGCTCCCATAATCATGCTGCCATCTAGTAAGTGGACCAAGAACAGTGGAGTATGTAGTAGATAATGCCCCTTATCAGTCCTTACCGGCTTATCTCGGCTAGAGGTTACAACATCTAAGTCGGATTCCTGTTATTCCTCACCATGTTCTAACGAAGAAGCAGTAATTCCGTGACAAAGTGTCGGTGAAATTAATAGCCAGCGCCATTTATCAATGTCGATCAGCTATTGTCAGCATTGCCTTCGTTCTAAATACAGCAGCGAAAAAAAAACTTGTAATAATCCACAAAATCGCGTTTCACACAGTGCTGAAGCTCCTGTTCAACAGCAAAACAGGGGAAAGGTGAACAGATAGCGAGGACTGAGCAAGAAAAAACTAATCAGCGCCTTGAATTTGGCCTGCTCACTAGTGGATCTGATAGGAGCCTTCTTCACTTGTAGATTCGATTCCACAGGAGCTTCGGGTTACGCAAGGATATTGCACTCCGAATTCCCTCTGATGCATGGAACTGATCACTTGGTGGTGGTGAGCAGTTCCATGCATGTTGGTGGTCTTCTTCCCTTCGACTCATGCTTCAGCACATTCCGAGGATGCCCAACAGGTCGTGGTGAAGGCCTATACTCGGCCATTTGTCATCCTGATGCTGACCTTGCGTGCCGAAACCTAGATCTCACGTACTTGTGTGTTTGGTTGCCGTCGTTTCTAGTGATCTGGAAACAGTTCGTCCAGGCATACTTTATCTATATCCACAATATTTCGATACACAAGCCAGGGAGAATCAAGCATCAGGGAGTTTCGATTTTTTGGCTTGTTCCAAGTTCTTTGTTCCGCACCTGTATCTGTCATCTTTGCTATCCTACTATAAGAAAATGGCAACGTCTGTCTGTCCGGAAATCGGAATCACCTGAAAAGCCAATTTGTGGGGCGGGTCAAAGATGAGTGGGTAGGGAATGGGCCAAGATGTACGGAACACAGATGAGCAGAGCTAAGCCTCGCTCCTAGGGGTATATACAAGGAATGAAACGTAAAGTGTAGTAATTTCCTGAAATCATCTTGTCCAATTAGGCCGGCCGATGGGACTGGCCCTCATGTGAGAAAATGTGGGGTGTACACACCACACGCGGGGAAGGAAGCTTCTTGCAAAAAAAACTGTGAGGCAGAACCCAATTGACACCCGGAAGGAGGATTGTTTGGCGAGGCCGCGTATGAAGTGGACCCCGGAATTTTCCTTGTGCGTGTGAAGTGGGTCCCGGAATTTTCAACACAGGGCCAGTCGGATCGCCCGCCCTCGGGATGTTGATCCTACTTGTGCGTGTGAAGTGGGTCCCGAAATTCTCCTTGTGCGTGTGAAGTGGGTCCCGGAATTCTCAACACAGGGCCAGTCGGATCGCCCGCCTCGGGGGTTGATCCTACTTGTGCGTGTGAAGTGGGTCCCGAAATTCTCCTTGTGCGTGTGAAGTGGGTCCCGGAATTTTCAACACAGGGCCAGTCGGATCGCCCGCCCTCGGATGTTGATCCTACTTGTGCGTGTGAAGTGGGTCCCGAAATTCTCCTTGTGCGTGTGAAGTGGGTCCCGGAATTTTCAACACAGGGCCAGTCGGGTCGCCCTCCTTCGAAAAACGTTTTTTTTGCAATTCCAAAACATTACCGTTTCTTTTTGTATACACCGAGGCAAAATTATGAACTTTTGCAGCGGGTGCCACCGATGCGGGGCACCGCTCACTCACTGGTTTTTCCCTTACCTCATCTGTCTTCCCGCTCTCGCCCTTCATGCATTTTACCTATCTCTTGGGCTGCTCAGGATGCGTTTTTTGATTTTGTCTGGCGCGATTTGGGCTGCTCAGGATGCGTTTTTTGATTTTGTCTGGCGCGTTCGCTCCGGCGCACGCCCCACCCATTGCGGGCGGAGCCTAGTTACTTTGTATGTGCTCTGTAAATGTTGGCCCATTCCACCTCCATCCCAAGCTTGATCCGTTCCCCAAAAGAGATTTTAACACAGTACCTATTTTTTGAGCGGTCATACAGACAGACATACACACCGACACACATGCAATTTCTGGTTTATATATTGAGGGATAGATGGTTTTCTACCATTTATAAGCATGAAAGTGAAGAGCTCGGACGGTTAGCTAACTACTCCATCAACTTGTTTTTTTTTCGCACATTCACAATCTTTGAAATTATGTTTCTCACGATTTAGCAATGCCGACACCTGCCCACTGTTCTGCTCATTAACTATCTTATAACCCTGCTCCATCCAGAAAGCAAGTAAGAATTAAAGATGGTTTTAGTACATTTTTATAGAAGCGAACTTGAGTTCCGCATGCTGTTTGGCAAGAAGATGCTACCTTTGCAATACTGTGAAACTTCTGTGAATTCCAGACAGTTAACCAGGAAGTAACGTCCTGGGTCTTTTAGGTCGCCCAAATCGAGCTACTGGTCGATAACGTCGCGAAAAGCGCGTTCTAAGATAGGCAGGAAAATTTTTTTGTGAAAATCCTAGTGCCAAATATACCACAGCTTACTTGTGAACAGTAGAATCACATATGTATTCATTTTGATCAGTACGAGAATCTGTGAATTCAGGGTTGTACTGAGGGAACTTAACAGCCCGAGATGAGTGGCTTCTGAACTTATGTCTTTATACAGCTTTTTCAGTTCTCAACTATTTGTCTGACGATGAGAAAGATGGAAAGGATAAGGTGCACATTGGGCTACGTTTAAGCCATGGGAACTTTGTTTGGCTAAGCGGTTCAACCTGCGGGTTCAGACACTGGAATTCAGGAGAACCAAACAATCATGGAAAGCATACGCGAGGAAAAGGAACAGAAGACGCGGTTGAGGTAATATCAATGTGCCTCTGAAAGTTCTATGCAATCTAAGAACTCACAAGTTTCAGCAATACTCCGACGATGGTGCTATGTACCACTATGGTTGGAACGACACCGAAGGTAAAAAAAGAATACCTTTTATTTGCGAAAAACGACACTGTCCACTCAGCGAGAGACTTGTTTAACTTTAATTTTTCCGTTTCTTCTCCATTGATTGTCCATTTTTCCCCATTGTCTGTCCATTTCAGTGGGATCTGATGTATAAATATCCGACTCACGGTTGTTCTGACTAATGTTTAAATGCTAACATCTAGGATTGCATAGCCTGTAGATTTCCACTGCTGATGGTGGCATTACGTGAGCAGTGGTGTGTTGATCTTCAGGGACAATAGCACAGAGGATTAGCACGAGCTCTGTTTCTTTTCGGATTCCAGGACAGCGGTGCACTGGGAGCTGGCCTCGCCCAGTGAGGCTGTATACCATTTTCACTTGAAACTGACATTTTTACAACCAGATTCACTACTTTTCAAAACTATTCACCACTATTCAGACCAAATTCATCTTTTTCCGAATCCATTTTACCATACTTTTCAGACCTGGCAATTCATCAACCAGATCACGCCAGACACCACTGCGAGCTGCGCCCCGAGGCCACGCCTGCTTGTCAGCGCGGACATAGATTGTTCGAATTTGTTTCATAACTTCTGCTTCTGTGACTTTTTCTGCACTTTTGTTACTACGCCTATACATACTAAGTGAAAATGATTGTAGTCCTTGTCAGTTAGTGGGTGTAGGCGTAGTAACAAAAGTGCAGAAAAGTCACACAAGCAGAAGTTATGAAACAAAATTTGAAATCTATGTCCGCGCTGACAAGTAGGCGTGGCCGTCGGGGCGGGGCTCGCAGTGGTGTCTGGCGTGATCTGGTTGGTGAACTGCCCGGTCTAAAAAGAGTGGTGAATTTGATTTGAAAAGTGGTGAATTTGGTTTGAAAAGTGGTGAATTCCGTTTGAAAACTGGTGAGTTCAAAGTGAAACTGGTATAAATGAACATCTAAAATGGATAGGTGATGTTGACAAGGTTGTGCATGTGCCGCGGAATCTATGACATCGGTTCGTATGAGATCTGCTTGCAGGAGGTGCAGGTCTCAGCTGAAGAAGATCAGAGCACTGGCTACATCCACGGGACACCGACCTGTGTCGCTCCCTGAAGCGCGATCCGTTCGCCGAGGAGAATTCATGACAACTAGTATAGTGTTGATAACTGAACTAGTTCGCGCCATAGTAGACCTACATCAGGGTTAAGGATCAGGTCGCGGGAAAATGGGGGTTCAGTACGACCCCGCCCCCTAGAAAAGGAGGTTTCCGAACGATATCTCACCATAAGTGAATGAGGAGTCTATGAAGGATGTACATCAGGGCTTATGTTGTGCACTATGGGAATGTTACCGAATGGGTGATTATCTCGGAACATTTACGAAACCAATGGAACAAGAGCGCTGGAAACTAAAGAGACTGCTTACCAAGAAGTCGTATAGTACACGAGGTAAGAGCTCCGAAAAAATCCACATGACACCGAGCAAAACAACAACACAAAGCCGAGACTTTGAGCATTCTGTGGACCATTGCGTATTTAGATTAGAGCGCAATCGGTCCGCTGCATTCACATAGTAATGCCTAAAAAGGTATAACTTTTTCAAGAAATCGCAGAGCGGTAAGATTCAGGTCGTATAGCCGCTTTCTATAAAATATACAAGGTTCCATCAAGCTTGGATGACGGCTTTTGGCCAGAAAATAACGCGGAGAATTTTGGCCTACCGCAAGTTGTTCACCCTTCAATGGATACAACTTCATCCATACGTAACACAGAATGGAGTTCTACATGCCATTGGAAACTAGAAGGTTTTCTCTTTCCACTGACATTATCTTTGCTGCTTCAGCTTTATCACCAGTCGGATCGCCCGGCTAACGCCGAGCTCTCCTCCTTCTTGGAAGCCCGGCTTCGCCGGGCTCATGCAACTGCTCTGAGGCTCACTTCTTAGCTCGTGAAAGAAAGGAGCAAAGTAAGGCATAAGCAGGGCGATACTACTGTCTTAGGCATTCATGATGCTCTCATGGTGACTAACCGCTGTCTTCTAATCAAATAAATGTAGAAACGCGCCATATGATCGCAGGGCACTTTCATAATGAAAAGTTCAAAATCTGGTCATGGATAATCGATTACTCTCCTCCCCATCTTATGACAGCCATGGATGCTTCGGTCTCCGCAGTCGCTGCGTGCTCCTGTTCAGGCGAGCGTCGGTCGCGTCAATATGGTACCATTTAACTCACCTATCCCCAAATTAACCTCAGCTATTCCCCGCCAGGGCACAGCATTGGTTGGGGATTCCCTATGGGGGGGGTCGTATTTGGCCGCCAAAAGGGGGGGGTCGTATTTGGGCTGGGAAAAATTTATTTTTATAGTTGATTTTTCTCTCCTTTGCGGACGTTTCGGAGGGGGGGGTCGTAATTTGGTCGTTGTGGGGAGGGGGGGGGTCGTATTTCTGGCTAGGAATTACGTGGTTCACTTCATGAGTTTTATGAATTTTCTATGTTATAGCTACTATGTGTTACGCCGCGTACCGATGTACGTCGCACTGCTTACTACATACCCCCCGCTCGACAACTTTTTCGCCGAGTATAAACCACAACCACAGTCAGCCATGTCAGCCATCGTACGAGCATGGGGGGGGGTCGTACCAGCCCCTGAAAAAGGGGGGTCGTAAAAGCTCGACCAAAATCCCCATCGAATGCTGTGCCCTATTCCCCGCTCAGCCACCCTACAGGTCACGCTCAGCTGCTACGCGAATAGCCCGTGCAATGGTTCTGAGTGCACTAAATGGTTGTGTTATGTTGTGGAGGGTGTTATGACTATCAAAACGCTACCACAATTTGATAATGCAACATTTCGGTTCAGTTCCGATTGCGGTCGATCCATTTTCTTCTCATCTTATCGCAACCGTAGACGCCTTACCGCCGCAGGCGCTATGTGCTCCTATTCGCGAAATCGCCTCATCTGGTACCCCTTCACCACATCATATCCCACTGACCCTATTTAACCGTCGCCCACTCCCGCACGTGGTATGCAGCCGCCACGTGAGCAGCTGGTGCAACATAGGGACACTACGCCGCCACTGTTCTTACCACCGCCTTGCTCGTGCTCACGTCCAGCTCCCAAGCGAGCAGCTCCTGCAATAGCACAGAGTCTATCACAGTGGTTGGCTTAGATAGCGGGAGCGATTCACAATCCAAACAACTTCTTAGTTCGTTGCTGTAACATGGATTACCTTGAAGTTTTGCTAGCGGTTGTTTCCTTCTCTCTTGCCGCCTGCTCCTATTCATGCGAACGCTACGCATCCCCTTACTGTGTACCCAGTTTGCCCGATTCAATCCATATGCCTCCTTGGGGCTCAGATCCGACTGAGTGCGCGCAAGGGAGTGAGGATGGGGAGAAGGGGGTCACTCGATACTAACTCCCACCTTCCTCACCTCACCCCATTCCGTACTCGCCACTCCATCCCCCCCCCACCTTGCCCCTTGCACGCACTTACGTCCAACTGCCACGCGAGCAACCCGTGCAATGGCTCGGAGTGTAGTGGTTTTCTTATATCGTGGAGAGTGTTATCACACCAAAACAACTTCTTAGTTCGTTACGGTAACATAGATTGGCTTGCAGTTTTGTTAGCGGTTGTTTCCTCATCCCTTGGTGCGCGTTTCTACTGAAACGCGCGCTACGCACCCCTCACTGTACCCCCCTCCCCGCGACCCCTTCACTCTGCCTCCTCCCATACATGTGCCCAGCTCCGGCTGAGCACGTGGAGAGGGAGGCAGGGCGACCTGGGCACCCCCACCCTGCCCCCGCACGAGCACACGTCCAGCTGCCACGGCAGCAGCTCGTGCAATGGCTCGGAGTGTACCGAATGGTTGTCTTATATAGCGGAGGCTGTTATCACAATCAAATCATTGGATTGCTACATCCTCCCAGTCGGTTACCGGTTTGCCTAGCGGTCGTTTTCGCCTCCAGCGAACTCGAACCCGTGAAGGACAGACAACCAGCGAATACAACCCGTGAAGTATTTTGCGGACGGACAGACAAACATACATACATACCTACAAACCTACATACAAACATACAAACCGACACACAAAGTTACTGGTTTATAGAATGAAAGGATAGCGAAAAGTCGTCCGCAGCGGATTTTCTTTTGAAAGTCAGCTTCAGCCGCAGCATGAGGAGCTCCCCCACGCGATGCCCACATTTCCATCTAGGAAGCTCGGCAGGCCTCCTGTACTCCTTCTGTTCGCGTAGTGAATAGGTACTGAAGCAAATTCAATTCGCTGTTCAACACTTACATGAAATGCGCCATGTTCTCGACTTTGTTTCCGGACATCACTAATCCTACAAGCTGCAGCATTTTTGAACAATCGTATTTAGGTAATTTTTTCATGGAAATTTTTGCCTCTGATCTCTGCAAATATGACTCCCACTCAGGAAAGAGGCCAAATACGACCCCTCGCCGCGCCGCGGATCCCGCGACGTATGCTTGACCCTGACCTACAGAAAAGATGCAAGGGTCTTGAGAGAGTCCCGTGTAGTTCTGCATTTCCGCGCGTCTGCTGGGAAGTCAAAAGCTCGCAATCCAAAGGATTTTCTGGGTCAGATTGAGGAGTAGTTCTCCATGCAACCTACACGCCGCCTTCCCTCTCCTCGCCCCTCCCCCCACTGAATGTTGCCGTAGATCTTACCAAAGATCACATGTTCCGCATCTAAGGCGTATGTTAGCGCAAGGAGAAGTACGGAATTGAAGACGTGGGCCCAAAGCAGAATGTTCTTTATAATAGCTACTCCTATGGTCTCGAAGGCCTCCCATGCCGATCGCTCAGCTCTGATGCTGGGTCGCTCATAATATTTACTTCACAGTGCATACACATATACGTATAGATAGAACATACAGAGATGGTTAAACGGGAAGGTCGTCCCACTTACTGAGGAACCTTGAAATGAGACCTATGTAGATCGATAGGGTCTGGCATACTGTTTACTGGTGTGGAGGCTCGCCTTTCCTGTTGTCACGCGGGTCTTTGACAGCTCGGAGATAAGCCTCAAACTTGGGTAATTAAACTTTATTCTTTATATATAGACATATACAAGTTTAAGATATGTGAGTTGAGTAATTGCTGGATAAGTGAGATAGACGAATGGATGAAAGGCTAAGAGGTCGCTGGCAGA